TTCCTCACACTTTGTAGTTAGTTACTTTGTTTTTTGCTATCACATAAAAGGCTTATAAAATATATTATATTATATATTATATAATATATTGGCTCTAATGTAACAAAAGGGGGGGGGGGGGGGGCTTCAAAAGATATGAATTGTTCAGCAAAGTAGTTTATAATTACAGTAGGCTTCAATTTAACTGCCAGGTTTCACAGCTCTGTGTCTGCCTTGTTACTATATGCGGCTGAATAAATAGGGAATGAATAGTTACTAATCATGCCTCCTTGTCCAGTAGACAGCAAAGCCTGTGTGACCCTGAATGTCACATATTATGTAGGGTCCGCTGAGGGTCTGTGAAGAAATTTCCATGCAGCTTAGATATTTTTGTCTCCTTTGCTGTGTCTAACAATAGCGACAGTTATAGTCCCTTTCAGAGGATGGGGCCAAGGAGAAAATAGAAGCACAGTTAGAGATCCATGCATTCATATTTCATTTTTATTCTTCTTCTTCTCCCCTTTTTAAGTAGGATGGTTATGATACAGGACATTATTAGATACTTACAGAATGTGCATCACTTTGTGGATGGTAGCTGTTTCACCTGCCTAACAATAAAATGGACAGAAGCGTGAGAATGTCTGCAGGGACCAAGCAGCTTGTGTGCTCTGACCTTGAGAAGCATGGCAATGTGTTGAGGGTGAGATATAGTGAACTCCCTAACTGTCTTAACCTCAGAAGAAGTGAGGGAAAGGTCTTGTCCAAGTCAGGTGCAACCACACCCTGACTCATGCATAACCAGCTGAACTTACTGCATGAACTCTAATAAATCACCTTTACCCTCTCAAGTTAACTTTGTGCCCTTTCTATAGGTTGAACTGTAGTTTGCTTGCACTCTTATTTCCCACACAGGAGTAAACGGTTATTCACCCTGAGAAAAAGTTTTTAATTTAGAGATAAATGCAAGCTTGATAAAATAATAATACATTCAGATAAGGTGTACACTATTTTAAACCATTCAGACAAGTTCAATCTTTGTCGATTTAGAATTTTTAAAATATGAATTTGATAAAAATTGAGGACTAATATAGTAGGTAAGAGATGCTGGAAAAACAACCATAGGACCACAAAATAAGTAAAAAACCGAGTTCTGGGCTAGTTTTGCAGTCACATCCAGATATTTGAGGGACTTTCAATAAGTAATGCCCGTGACCCACTTTCAGGTCTTTAATCTAGCTAAATTCTGTATGTGCAATTATTTATATCTCTATAGATCAAGTGGCAAATAACAGCTCTGAACTAATTGTGGTTTCTAATTTACAGCGGTTTGAATTGAGTCAAGTCTGAAATTGAGCGTGTTGAGTGTCAAGCAGTGATCCGGTTTTTGTATGGCTTTGTAGGGCCTTGTATAGCCTGATATGGCGTTGTAAGGCCACATGATGAGGCATCATTACCATAAATTCCTTTCATTTCATCACAAGTCTCCCGTGATGTGCATCTTTTCAAATAAATAAAGAAACACGCAAAAATCAGAAACCATAATTAGTTCAGAGCTGTTATTTGCCACTTAATCTATAGTGATGTACAGCAAATGTACAAAAAAGTTTGATTTGACAAATTGAAAACTAAATGTTATTTTTGCAACAAGCTGCTTGTGAAACATTTGCAGTTTCAAGTATTGAAGGGGAAAAAAACAGAAACCCACAGAAACTCTCATGCATGTGACAGATTTAACCTATCCGCTATAAAGAAGGCACAATTCTACCTGTTGGCATCGTCTGTGACACTGCTGCGAAGAAAACAGGCAGAACAAGGGTATAGCAAGGTCAACAGAACACAGAGAGGTTTCATTGGCTCGTGGTAGCTGAGGTTAAGCCCACAGCCTTGTTTTTAAGAGCTCCAGCTTACAGAGACCTTGTGGCGTTACGGGAAGATGGACATGGACAACTCAGGTCAGTTCATTTTTGAGGTGTGCGGGTTTTAATTTGTTGTGTGCATTTCATTAAAATAATCACTTTAAATTGAAAGTTTATAGCTACCAAAGGTAAACAATGAAATGAATTAATTTAATAAATGTATTATGCATTATATTGTTTATATGCCATCTATAGTGTTTTAAAAACAATTTAATTTAATTTTTAGTTTTATGGGAAAGTTTCAACATTCTATGACATGTATATTCTAAACTCAATAGTATAAATATTTTTTAGTCCCCTAAATTAATTAAATTCCTCTGTGCTTTGTTATTAGTGCAGCTCTGTGATGCATTGACCCCCGAACAGCTGATTTAAATAACAAATAGAAGTGGCTTTACTTTAATAAATTCATCAAGCCGAAACTTTTAAGCTGCTTGCTTGTGGTTCATCCAAAATATGAGGCATCGCATGACTCATCAGTGTGATTTAGGTTTGATCTGTCAGCAGCTTTGCGACTGCGGGTTGAGGAAATTTTTAATATTACCAATTAAAATAATTTTGTTCTTGTTTGTGATTGCCTAATTTTAATATTAATGATAATAGATCTGCATCTACAGTATTGCATTCAGAAAGTCTGGAATAGAAGAAGCCGTGATCATGAACCGTAACGGAAACAATATAACACTCAGTCTCAAAAAATGACTAAAATACTGTACAGAACTGCTGCCTACTCAAATGCATTGACAACCTGTAGTCAGTGGGAGATGATCTCACTTTCAACTTGATTTGAAAGATGGTGGTTTCTCTCATATTGGTGTAATTTACTGTCAAGTCTGTAACATCCAAGGTGCTAAAAAAAGGATCGTGCTGCGATCCTTAGATGATTCAAAATCGAAAATGCTTAGAAAACTGCACGATTTGTTGAACATGAAATTTCTATGCCTACAAATGTTTTTCCCTTACAAAACATTTACTGATATTTACTAAATTTGACCTTAATTAAAAAAAATAAAACTAATTAATGTGCATTAGTATAAATTGAGATATTAAAACAATAGTTTTTTTGTGCACTATTCTTCTTAGATGTTTATAAATATGATGAATAAAGATGGTCAGAAGACAATGAGATCATTTTAATTATCAGTCACCAAATTCTTTGTGTATTTCTAATCAGCATTAAAAGAGATTGTTTACTAGCTATAATTTAGATCAGCAAATTTTAAAATAAATTTAAAGGTTTTAAATTATGTTATATATTTTATATGCAGATGTTTAATAGCAAAATCTATTTAATCATTGTAGCATAATTAGCACAAACTGAGAATTGCCCTACAACCTGGTAAACATCAAAAGCATCTTGAGGAGAATGATGACTAAGATCAGGAGAAGAAAGAAATTTGTTGTCATGCAATGTACCGTGTTATCTTAAAAATAAAGGGGCCAGAATGCTGCATAGAGCGGCATTTTGGCTTGTTAGTTTAATTTGCTGAGAATGAATCTAGGTGGCACTCCGGTATATATCGTAGGGGCTTAGATTTGGGTGTTTAGGTTGGATATTTCAACCATCCAGTTATTCTATTCTTCTATTATACTTTTAAAGTTAGAACCGCCAGCCTTGACTGAATATTATAAGTACTGCCAAATTTTTCTAGGAATTTATGTTTATAATGGTAATTAATCATCGTAACCGGTTGAACTTCTGATGCAACAAAATACATTTAGTTTGTTTCAATGGTTTTAGAAAAAAACTGATTAATGTTTTCTTAATATTTTTATCTTAATGACGTCCTGCCTTATATATACCATTAATTAATTTTTTGTATCAGCTTCACTTTTTTAACACATCTTTCTGTAATCTGCTTTCTACTCATTTCCCTTCTTTCAGAAGCAAAACATTAGTCGTGCTAATTTCTTTTTATAACTTTATAAATATCAAAATTTTTACAGATGATATACCTTATGAAAAAAAGTCCTAGAAAATGACACATTTGAAATTAACAGGAACAAATCGATCCAGGAAAAGAATCTTCCGCTTACCTTTTAGAAAACCTCCCTTACATAGTGCTGATCTGGAAATAATGATATTTATTCTTACAAGTAAAGAGAATTTAACCTTATTATCTGCCTCAGTGGTTGCAAAGTGGCATAGTAAAACATGAAATGAAAAAAGGTGATTGTGGAAACCGCCTATAAAGGCTCTTAGCACGCGACACTGAGTGATATGTCGACCGTCTAGCTACCCACGATTTCCCCTCTGCCAACGACCTGATGCCAGTGTCACGCAACATGCCTCACAATGACTAAAATACCTCGGCTGCTTACTCAAACTGAAGAGCAGAGCTGCAGCTCTCTGACTTTCAACCTGTTTGTACCAGTTTGTATTTCCTGATATCCTGACGTAGGGGGCAGAACTCTTCTCAAAATGAACCCCGGCTTTATGCAAAACGTAACTTTTCATGCTTCTGAATAATACCAAGTCGTCACGCAAACCTGGTAGCAGTTTGGCATTTTGCACAAACCTAAAATGACTCATAATATTCAGAATGGACAGATCAAAGACTTAATTTTGCAATGTGCAGTCTGTCACAAGGTTTAGACAAGTTTTACAATTTGCAGCTAAAGAAAAAGAGAAATTTGATTCAGCTGCTTTTCTGTAACTGAAATTTTAAAAACATTTAAAACAGTTTGAACATATTAGAGACTGTAATCTGGTTGCTATAAAATAAAGAAATTGTTCTGGTTTTCTCCCTTTTATTTGCCTATCACATGACCTTAACACAAAAAAATATTTAGTTGATTTAAATGTTATTAAAAATTAGACTTTTATTAGTTTTCCTGACATTCTTAGATATGAGTTAACTACTGTGCCTTTTAACCACGAAAGGACACCAAATTTTGTCTAATGTTGCTCAAACAGCTCTTTGTCTTTTCATAACCCAGTTACTGTTAGATGTTTTACAAGAATGTAAACCTTTACGTACAGGAAAGTTGATGCAAACTAAAGGATAGAGAAATGTAGTTGGATGATTTTGTTGTTTTCTTGTTTTTTTTTTTATTGAATAAGGATTTAACACTTAGCTTTTCTGTTTGTTTTCCACAGAAACAATGCCTGTTTTCTATGATGAGTGCCTTCCTACCGATGACTATACCGGTAATCTTACTAATGAAACTGACTTTTGTGAGCTTGGTGAGCAACAGGAGTACTTCATCAAACTGTTCCAGACGTGCGTTTTCTGCCTGATTTTTTTACTGGGAGTTTTGGGAAACTGTCTGGTGATAGCCACCTTTGCTCTCTACCGCCGCCTGCGCCTCCGTTCCATGACCGACGTCTTTCTGTTCCACCTGGCACTGGCCGATCTCCTCCTGCTCCTCACGCTCCCGTTGCAGGCAGCCGACACTCACAAGGGTTGGATCTTCCCCGTCGCACTCTGCAAAATTCTGCGTGCATGTTATGCCATCAACACATACAGCGGGCTGCTGCTGCTCGCCTGCATCAGCGTTGACCGCTACATGGTTGTGGCACGAGCCCAAGAGATGCTACGGCTGCGCAGTCGGATACTAACAGCAGGGAAGGTTGCTGCTGTAATTGTCTGGATTGTTGCCGTTTTACTTAGCCTGCCTGAAATCATTTTCTCTGGGGTTTCTGAGTTCGGTGAGGAAAAATTTTGTGCCATGCAAACAAGCGGGTATGTCAAGATGGTCCCCAGTGGGGCCATTATTTCTGTTTTCTGTGTGTCCTTCTTCATTATGGTGATATGCTATACTTCCATAGGCGTAGTTCTTTGGGAAGGCCACGTGCATCGCCGTGGGAAGCAGTGGCATCGGCAGCGTACCCTAAAGTTAATGGTTGCTCTGGTGCTGGTTTTCGTCATTTTCCAGCTGCCATACACAGTAGTGCTGTGTCTCAAAATAGCTAGGCCATACTGTGGTCTGATGACAGAGTACATCACCTGTACTCTGGCATACACACGCTGTTGCCTCAACCCCATGCTCTATGCACTGGTTGGTGTACGTTTTCGTAAAGATGTAGTGCAGCTTTTGCATGATTCCGGCTGTCCATGTGGGTTTCAGCTTAGGCTGCACAGTGTCCACTCTACATCCATTTCCGCCTCCTCTCCTGGTCTCACTGTACTCTCAGTTTGTTCCCCAACGTCACCTGATACATATTCCACTAGTGATGGATTAAAGTTTCAGTTTCCAGCAAGTAAGTAAAGTCAAATGTATACAGTAAGATAAGTGACTTTGCTTTAAATTTTTCAGCTTTTCCAATCAATTTTCATAAAACATTGGTCTAAATAGCATTAGAACTTTATCTCAGTTTCTGCAATTGGTTCATAAGAAGTAACTTTAAACATCTGTTGCAGATCTGTTACTCTGCAATCTTCAGAGTAACACATTAATCACGCTGTGTCATCAAAGAAGCTTGTATGAAAGCCACTGAAATTGCTGAATATTACTCAACTAATATTGTACAGTTTTCTCCGTTTTCATGGGTTCATGTCATTTGTTGTCATTGAAAACAAAAGGATATTGACATTTTTGTGTTTTTATTAAATTCAAGAAAAAAAAAAACGAGAAAAGAGAACAAATTTTCATTGATGGTAAAAAAAAAAATGAAGAAAAAAACTTTTAAGAGAAAATAAGTAATCATAGAATAAATAAAAGATAGATTGACATTCGGAAAATTACTTCCAAGGGAAACACACTTTCTTTATATATATATATATATATATTAACTTTCAAATATATATTTTTTTGCAATCTGACTGACAACATGTCCTCTAAAAGTAAAAGCTTTTTTCTTCTCTCTCTCTCGAAACCTAAGTCTTTGATCTCGATTCAGGATTTTTCTCCTTCGCTGTTCATCGCAAACGCCCCTATCACCACTCAGCTGTCAATTCATTCTGATTTAAAAAAATAGTTTTTTTTTTTTTTTTCCTCTTGGAAGTCATTTTCTAAATTCAAATTTTCTTTTATCTATTCCATCACAAAATGTTTTCTCTCAACATAACATGATTTTTTTTACGTCAGTGTGAAAATTTGTTCTCTCCAACATATTTATTTCACTTTTAAAATTATTTTCCCCTTTAAAATCACTTCTTTTCTTGAATTTAATGAAAACACTCCATATTGAGCAGCATTTAGTTTGTATACTAGCTTATTCTGTTACAATACAAATGTAAAACTGCCTGTGCATTAAGCTCAAACTCTTAGAAAATTGTTCTGTTTTGTTTCTTATGTTTTTTTGTAAGGGCCGCAGCATTTTTATCTCAACCCTGTGATCTTTGTCAAGCTTGTAAATATTTGCAATTACTTTACTTTTCTTTTTATAACTTATTATATATATCATGTATTTTGTTCTATAATGCTTGTTCTATTTCATATGAAATGCCTTTAATTTCATTTTGTTGAATAAAAATTAAAGAACAAATAAACAAACTTTGAATCATATGAAATGTGTGGGAGGTTTTTTTTCTTAAGCTTTCTGCTGAGAACCAATAAAAGTATTCACCTGAAAATCAAAACCCTTAGAAAGACTTACAAATAAAAGTTCTGGAGATTCTTGACCAAAGTCGTTTGCCTCAATCTTTAGCTGTATTAGCAGCTATTGTATGGCCGCCGGTATATTCAATTAACTTCATTTATTGACCTTTTATAAATTAAATGACCAGTCTTTTTATTTTTTTTACTTTTAGCTTTGTAAACATTTAGCAGTAATCACCAAAAAAGGTCAACAGTTCCTTTTTTCTTCAGTTCTTTTAACTTTATTATATTGACTACAATGGCAAAGGGATTGGCCCCATGGAGCTCTTCTCTGGTTTAGTTATCCATTAAAAGTATTTCAGCTTAAAGGCAACATTCATGAAGACCTTTTCAAGTCTACATCTCCGTGATGGTGACCCAGGAAAAGGATTTACAAGATGAGTTTTTTCACTGCTTTTCTAGACATACCAGGATCACTAAATTGCACATTAGGTTTTAAGTTTTTACACATGCAATAAGTGGGCATGTTGCAGATTATCTACAAAGACTGCTGCACAAATGTTGAGATATGCAAAATAATCTGGTTCTGCTGCATTACTGTTAGCAGATTGCATGTTCTACTGGCAGCATGAGGGTAATCGTAAAAGAAAGATGAGGTTTGAAACCATGTAGCAGGAGGTCATGATGAAAGTCATTTTTCTAAATAATAACTATAGCAAATATTCGTTTTAGGGAATCTAACATAGGTATTCTATGAACAAAAGTAAGTCAGTATATAAAAATGAAAGTAAAATAGTAAATATAAAACATCATTAAGCATGTAGAAGTTGTCTCTTCTCTGTCTGCTGGACAAATGCCCTTTTGTGGTCAAAATGACCACTGAATCCCCCATGTGAGTTAACACTTTTCCACTAACTTATTAAAACTACCACAAATTAACCTGTCTTATGATATTTTCACGACTTATAGAAAAAATTATTGAAAACTTGTACGTTTTAAGCACCAACTAGATGCTGCGTTCAAGTTTCAAATTCCACCCTATAGCTTTTATGAATGAATTTCCATCTTCTCCCTGTGAATGTTTGCGCTTCCAGGTACTCCAACTTACACCGATAGTCCATAACAAAGTCCAAAGCAAGGAAGGATGTTTTCTATGATTTACATTTGGTTGTGAATGTGTACGTGAATGATCGTCCTGTTTATTAATGTTGCCTTAGGAGGAACTGGTGAAATTCCCCGGCTGTATCTCACCTTATATGCAATGACAGCTGAAGATAAAGACAAGGGTCTCATTTATAAAATATTGAGTGGGATTCATACTTTTTGTATGTAGACCGAACACAAAAAATGGAATACAGCAAATACAATTCCAGAATTCTAAAATAAAGATTCAGCTTCATGCTACAGTAGGGTTCAATCTACAAACCTGCATTTAACGTGCATGAATGTTGGGTTTTGTAAATTAGCCACCTGGCCAATGCTATTTCATGGTGAATTATAGCAACCATGTAAGAAAGACAGACAATTTCAACAATGCAGATTTAAGTTCAGTTACATGATATTGACTTATAATATCTAGATGTTTCCTAACCTCTCTGTACATGCCTGGTTTATCTAAACATAGTTTGATTTAAGTTTGTTCAGGGGCCATATCATTTGACATATTCTCATGAATAGCTTTAGCTCACAAGTGCAAGCATGTATCACACAGTGTATTTTAAAGCTGATGGTGACGTCAGTCTTTGATTAAGGTTTAATATGGAGTGAAATGACCTGTCTGAGGAATCATAAAGCTGTGTGGCTTCAACTCCCTACCTCAGACTCCCCAGTCTCCAAAATAAGCCAACACATGGGTCAGAGTTTGCATGAGGGCCGCACGTTTTCCCAAACAGTTTAATTTTTTATTTTTTTTTTACAGATCACATTCTTTTAATGGAAAATGACATACACAACTTTTAGGGCCAATTTTCTCACTTTTATAATTGAAAACTCAAGATAAGCTGACACAGAGGACAGAACTGGTTAATATTTTATTGTATATTTTCTTTAAATGCCTTATTACACCATAGTTTCTTCTTTCTGACTGAACCAAAAATTACAAAGTGATAATGATTGAGTCATATACTTTTTTTTTCTAACAGCAGACATGGAATCATGCAGAAAATATTCTACATCAGCTGTAATATCAGAATGACTGTAAATGTCATCTCAGTGTTTAAGATTTGAGGTGTAGTTAGTATGAAATGTTCCGACCAGAATGCCCTATTTCTTTTTTTGTTCTCCTAAAAAGAACAGTAGAATTCAATTAAGTTGATCAAGAATTGGTTTATGATCTGGTTACTGAGAAGCCAATTAAAAGACAGCAGATACATTGTGTAAGAAATCAGTTTAAGACAGCTTTTTTTTTTAAGCTCTAATTACGAGATACATTTATTGCATGAATGTGTTTTACTTTTAACACCACAGAAAAGTCCAAGTATTACTGTTGCTTTTATCAAATTTTTTATCACATCCTGAGAAAGATTGGATGAATAAAAAATAGCCTGTCAACTAATTGTTCCATTTGGTAGCTTTGCAGAAACATGATGAATAAAACCAATCTTCCTCTTGGATATTAAAAAGTGAATTAGTTGTTATAGATGTTAAATGTTAATGCTAATAAAAAAGGACATTTATATATCTGAATGAGTCAACTACTTACAGTAATTGTGAAATTAGTTGGTAGGATTGAACTCCTGCACTATTTCCAATCACTGTGTGGCGGAAAACTTGAATAAGGCTCATATTTGGTCTGGGGGTTTTGTCTTTAGGATGCACTAGTCTCTGTTTAAACAGAGAAACAACCTCTCCAGAGACGCATGGCCCAACACAGAAGAGCGAACTTCTCCGGACAACACGCGGCGGTACATCTACACCTTAATGACCAAATATGAGCGATTTCACGGTCTTGGTTCTGTTGTGTTTTCTTTTGAGTATTCAGCTTTACTTTGTTTCATGTTTTCTAGTTTTATTGGCTTCATTTCTATTTTGTTTTGTTGGATTTTGGATTCCTGCCTCTGTTAACTGTTACCACTAATTAAAACTGCAAGAACTCACGCCTGCCTCATAGCCTCTGCATCTGGGTCCTCAAAAACCACAACCAAACCCTAACAGCGGAGTGGTGTATCCAGTTCAATGCAGTGAGGAATGCTCTGATATTTATATTGGAGAAGCCAAACAACCTCTCCACAGACACATGGCTCAACACAGAAGAGCGACCTCATCTGGACAAGACTCTGCGGTACATATACACCTTATGGACAAAGGACATTCTTTTGAGGACTAAAATGTTCACGTTTTGGACAAAGAAAACAGGTGGTTTGAGAGGGGCGTGAAGGAAGCCATCTATGTTAGGAAAGAAAAACCAACCGCAAACAGAGGAGGTGGACTCACATTTCAGCTTTAAAAAACCTGAAATGTAGCAATTGAGTTAATCCTTCCTCACTATCATTGCGACCCCCACCCCCTTACAGGGAAACAGAAGACCATGCCTGTACAGCCAGGCCAACAACTCCCTTTAATGAACCCCATTTCAAAGACATAGACAGGTATGGGGTATCCCAGGCTAACAAAGAAGTTAGGGGTGGACCCGTTTGTCTGGTTCAATTTGCATGTTTTCTAAACCAAAACAAGGCTTTGTTGAGCTACTCCATAAAGCCTCGATTTCAACATTATTTCTGACATTTTGAACTGAAAAAGCTTCCTAGATGATGATAATAATTCCTTATAATATCAAATACAAAATGATAATCAAAATAGATGTCATTATTTTTTGTTACATTTTTATGCTGAAATTCTTCACAGGTGGTTTATATTTTGTGGCAGAGTGGTTCTATGCATCAATACATCGGGTGAGTGCTTTGGTAATTTAACTTGAGTAGATTTTTGACCGAGTAACTTTTACTTGTAGTTGACTAAGATT